GCTAGACCATGAGATCCGCATGAGGGAAGGGGCCTGCAAGCTACTGGCGGCCTGCTCGCAGAGAGAACAGGCTCTGGAGGCCACCAAGAGCCTGCTGGTGTGCAACAGCCGCATCCTCAGCTACATGGGCGAGCTGCAGCGGCGTAAGGAGGCGCAGGTGCTGGGGAAGACAGGCCGGCGGTGAGCACGGGGGAGGCAGGCCTTACGGCGGGTAGTGGTGCAGGGTGTGTATGTTCGGCGCGTGGATCACCCTGAAGATGACTTCCCCATGAAGCCCCGTCAGAAGCCTGGGAGACCCCTTGGTCTTTATCACCACAGTGTGCTGCCCAAAGGGGCACTAGGGAGTAACTAGGGCTGGATTCAGGAAAGCCAGTGCATCTGGTGCAAGGCTGGCAGGCTGAGGGGTTATAATGTGAAAGTGCTAATTTGCTAAGCCCTGCCTGTGGTCTGATGAGGCAGGCTGGCTGGCTTCTGGAAAGCTGATTTTCTCGAAGTCAATTCACCAGATGGCCAATTTACCACAAACTGACAATAGTGTACCTGAGGTTCACCATCACGAGCAGTGCTTAAGAAAGGAAATAATAAAAAAATGTTTAAAGGAACACCTACCCATTCACATAAATTAGATCATGTATTTTAAAAGAGGTCAGCTTTGGATGTGAAACACCAGCTACACTGACATTAGATGCTGCTGATCTGACAAAGTTGCAGTGAAATGGTTGAGGTGATGCTCTGGTAAAACTAAAATGTTGGAGACAATACCTGGCAAGTTTATCATCCTGAGAATTGGCCACTTTTGGTAAACTGATCATTTGGAAAACTGGCTTCTGGCAAAGTAAGCCTGTTTGACCCCACAAGGCTGAGTGGGGACAAAGTCGCAGCCACTCACTGGCATGATGCCCATCTCAGTTCTGCCATGAAGGCTGCCACAAGGAGAGGTTGCCCGGAGCCCTCCAGAGCTCACCCATGAAGCCCCCAGGGGAAGTCAGATAACCTTTGTGGCTTCTCCACAAAGCTAACGGGCAAGCAGACAGGGGGGCAGTTCCTAATGTGAATTTGCTGTCTCCTGAGAGGCAGCCATCAACAGGCTCTGCCCTGCCCAAGTCCCCACACAGCCTACACAGTGTGGGGTGAAGTACACCCCAAATCACTGACAACTAAATGCATTGCTCTCAGTGCCACATCTAGCTTAAGGTCCTACTAAGTTGCTAATTACATTAGTGGCATTATGAATTTGTATGGCAAAGCTGGCTGTCACCTTAGCAGAGACACGTGCTTGATGAGTCCTGTTGAAGGGAGGGGAGGGGAGAAAGGCCAGGTGTCTGAGGCCCTGCAGTGGGAGCTAAGGAACTTGGGGTACTGGGAAGGCTCAGCCTACCCAGGGACGGTAGAGGAGAAATCAAAGCTGAGGAGGAGGGAAGAGAGAGGTTTGTGGCAGATGGAACACAGATGTTCTTTACTTGGGTTCTTGATTTTCCGACTGACCCAGTACCCTCCTATATCAAAGAAGTGATAATAGGTTGAAGAAAAGCCTCCCCTATTGTTAAAAAGAAAGTCTGCAAATTCCAAGTCTGGGGTCTAGTGGAGAAGAGCCCTGAGGAGTCTCTCTGCAGGCACCTGTTCCCTCAAGCCTCACTTGTGCCTGGCAGGGGTCTGGGGGAGAAGGGCAGAGAGGGTGCTTGGAGGGCGAGGAGCCTGGAGCTCGTACTGCCTGTGAGCTATTGTGCCTCTAGTGTCCCCAAGCCCAGCAAAGCCCTGGGTTCAAGTGACAGCTCTAACAGTCCCTCAGCCCTGCCCTGGCTGGGGACCTGGGGGCTAGGCCCTGGGCTGCAGGCATTCTAGAGCCCTTGGGAACCGGGATGGGGTGGCAGGGGGAGGGGAGTAATGTCTAGAGGCCAGGCCAGGATACTGTGATTTGCCCACAGGCCTTCTGACAGTGGGCCGCCTGCTGAGCGCTCCCCTTGCCGAGGCCGCGTCTGCATCTCTGGTAAGAGGCACAGAACCCCCCTCCCCCACTTCCCCCCAGCCGCTGGCATTCCTTGCCCAACCACAAGATCCCTGCCCTGTCTCAACATCTCTTCCTGCCCCTCTGCCCCTCAGACCTCCGGATTCCACTCATGTGGAAGGACACAGAATATTTCAAGAACAAAGGCGGTGAGTTCCACACATGCTGGGACAAATTGAGGGGAGTGACCTGAGGTTGGAGGCTCCTGTGGGGCACTGTCTTTACCAGTTTGGGCCTCTGTCCCCAGACCTGCACCGCTGGGCTGTGTTCCTGCTACTGCAGCTAGGGGAACACATTCAGGACACAGAGATGATCCTGGTGGACAGGACCCTCACAGACATCTCCTTTCAGAACAACGTGCTCTTGTGAGTGCCTCGTCCCTGTGGCTCCCTCCTTTCTCCACTCTGCTCCAGTCCTTGGATGGAGCTGCAGGGGAGGAAGGAAGATGGGCCTCACCTGGGGAGCTGTCCTATACTTGCACCACCTCCATCTTCCACCCCCACCCATCCCCTCATGCCTCCCCGGACTTCCCCAGGGCCAGCCTCCTCTCTTCCTCCCACACTCCTATAGCACCGAGGCAGGGCCAGACTTTGAACTGCGACTGGAGCTGTATGGGGCCTGCATGGAAGAGGAGGGGGCCCTGGCTGGAGCCCCCAAGAGGCTTGCAACCAAACTCAGCAGCTCCCTAGGCCGCTCCTCAGGGAGGCGTGTCCGGGCATCGCTGGAGAGTGCTGGGGGTTCGGGGAGCAGTCCCATTTTGCTCCCCACCCCGGCTGTGGGGTAAGGCCCTATATCCCCCCCACTGCCCTCAGCTGCGTATGTCCTGGCTACGGGTGGCCTCTGAGCTGTGTTGAGAACGCAGACCTCCTTTGCGCCTCTGCCACAGCGTGCAGCCCTACATGAATGAGCAGGGGCCACACAGCTGGGGGGCACCCTGGCCTGTGCCCTGGAGCTGGGCCCAAGTCAACCGAGAGGACCAGGAGGAATGCAGGGAGAGCTAAGTTCAGGGGTCTTCCGTTTTTTGCAGCAGCAAATGCATCTTATGTTGACAGAACAAGTGCCCTGGTTGGAGCAAAGTAGCCTGGGTCCTGCAGGGTTGCCTAGTGGCGCCTGGAAGCACCGAGTGGAAACACTGGGTCTCTGAGAAGCAGTTTAAGATGCTCTAGGGCAGTGACTTTGCTACCTTTGGGGACAGACAGGAGGTCAAATTCCGGCTCCACCACCTACCAACTAGAAATTATGGGCAAATTTCTTAACTTCTCTAAGCCTCAAGCTGTCTCATCTATTGACGAAACAATGCCACCTATCTCCCAAGGCTGTCGTGGGAATACAGTGGGATAACATATAAAGCACAGGACGCGGCACTTAGCAGAAGCTCGGTCAATGTTCCCACCCCTGTGGGGGAGGCAAGCTAGTTTTCTGTGGGACAACCTGAACAATGGGGCAGGTCTGCTCCACCCTCAGAGCGCCTGCCGTCGAGGACGCCCATCGCTGGGCTGAGGCCCACTTGTCTGTCTGTCCTGCAGTGGTCCTCGTTACCACCTCTTGGCTCACACGACGCTCACCCTGGTGGCAGTGCAAGATGGGTTCCGCACACACGACCTCACCCTCGCCAGCCATGGTGAGTATGTGTTGTGGAGGGGCGGAGACGCTGGACAGTAAGAGGGGCTGTTGGATGGTCCCTTCTCATGCCCCACCCTTACCCTGCGCTTCCTGTCCCCCAGAGGAGAACCCTGCCTGGCTTCCCCTTTATGGTAGCGTGTGTTGCCGCCTGGTGGCTCAGCCTCTCTGCATGACTCAGCCTACCGCAAATGGTACCCTCAGGGTGCAGGTGAGGGGCCCTGAGGTGTAGAAGGGAACATGGAGAAGGCAAAGGAGAGTTGGATCATCTAGGCACCGAAGGACTATTGAAAAATCAAGATCTGGGTGGAGGACGGAGGGTTATGGCAAGAAGACAGGAGGATCAGACACAAGGGTGGGCAGAAAGGAGCAGACTGTCATTGGGGGAATGGGAAGAAGGGTGTTGGGGGTGTGATTCCCCCAGGAAACCTTGAGTCATTTATGCAGCAAGCTGGGGAGCTGCAGGACTGGGCGCGAGTGCATGGAGTCCTGAAAGGCACAAGCCTCTTCTGTTACCGGCAACCCGAAGACGCAGACACTGGGGAAGAGCCGTTGTTTACTATTGCCATCAACAAGGTGATGGGTCCCTTGGCGGTGAAGCTACCAGGTGCCAGGCCCCAGGAGCGTCTCCTTCGGGTCCCAGGAGGGTGGGTGCAGAGAGATGGAAGTCTAGCCAGCTGCTCCTAAGAGCACTACACCCAGCTTCAGGGCCGGGAATGTACTCACTGGCGTCACTGGAAAAGGCTCTTCTCACCAGCTTCAGCCTCTGCCAAGTCCCACAAAGAGGGTCCCACGGTCAGTTTAGGATTTTCATCCTCTTTCTGCCTTTTCCCTCAGATTCCAGTCTGCATCTTCTTCACCCTTTCCCGGCTTTCTCTCCCAACCCAAGTCCAGTGACCCCTCTTGATTTCTGAGCCCTTTTGCTGGCTTTCCTGCCGACTTTTATGAAAGTACTGAGGGACATTAGGCCTCAGCATTCCTGCTCTCCCCCCTCCGTGCCTTCCGTGCCCCACTCAATCCCTCTTTCCCTGTCTCTGTCTGTTCTTCTTTCCTGAGGATGCTGTATCTCATCCCCAGTCCTTTCCTGCCATTCCTTCCGGCTCTGCTCGATAGGAGGCAAATGAGAGACCTAACCAGCTCCTCCTTCTAAGGCAGGGATGAGCAAGCCTGCCTGATATCACTGCTGACTTCTGTGACCAAGGTGAAGGTGGAAGCAGGCCCCTTCTTTCTCCTTCAGGAGACTCGAGTGCGGGCAGGGGAGCTGGACCAGGCTGCAGGCCGGCCCTTCACCCTGAGCATCAGTAACCGCTATGGGGAGGACGAGGTGACACACACCCTTCAGACAGAGAGTCGAGGAGCCCTGCACAGCTGGATGGAGGCTCTGTGGCAGCTTTTCTTTGACATGAGTAAGAGGAGGGGGCTGGTTTGAACCTTTGGGAGGGATGGGGTTTATTTTTATCAAAGGCCTCTATTTCCAGAAAGAGGAACGTAGCAGGGGAGAGGATGGCCTGGCCCTTCGGTGTTCCTCCTCCCACCCCAGGCCTTGCTCTCCCTTCAGGTCAGTGGAAGCAGTGCTGTGATGAAATCATGAAGATTGAAACCCCTGCTCCCCGGAAACCACCCCAAGTACTGGCCAAGCAGGGGTCCTTGTACCATGAGATGGGTGAGTGAAAGTACACTACGGGAACCTGATGGGAAGTGGGTTGGGGCCTTCAAGGGAGCTCAGACAATGGAAACGGAGAAAGCAATCGGCTGAGGCAGAGTTCTGGGAACCCAAGGTCCTCTCAGTCCTTTTGTCCTTGTTTCTCTTCTCCAGCCCTTACAGCCATCTCCACCAAAGTTCCAAACAAACCTCCAAAGAGCCAGATTCATTTCATGGATTTCTTTCCTAATTTCTTCTTCTCTTGTTTCCCTCTCTGCATGTGGATTCCTGTCTCTTCCTCTGACCCTTCACTTGCCTGGCACTGCTTTCATTTTCCTCCTCTTTCTTGATTTTTTTCACCCACTTCTGCCCACCCCCTCATCTCCGTCCCCGCTGCACACCATATCCCATAGTTTTATCAGAGCCCGTGGCTCCAGGGGGCCCAGGTGAGGGGCTTCTCCTGCAGGATAACACAATCTCGGCTGAGATCCGGGCTTTGCTTTCCTCCTATTACAGTGACAGGTGATGATCAGGGCTGGGCAGGCCTGAGGCCTAAGCTCTGACCGGCCCCCTCCCCTCAACCCCTTCCTGGTGTCACAGCTATTGAGCCGCTGGATGACATCGCAGCAGTGACAGACATCCTGGCCCAGAGGGAGGGCGCAAGGCTGGAGACACCCCCACCCTGGCTAGCAATGTTTACAGAACAGCCTGCCCTGCCTAACCCCTGCTCACCTGCCTCAGTGGCCCCAGCCCCAGCTCGGACCCACCCCATGCCCTGGGGGCGACCCCGAACATTCTCCCTGGACGCTGTCCCCCCAGACCACTCCCCTGGGGCTTCCCGCTCGGTTGCCCCTCTCCCGCAGCAGCAATCCCCAAGGTCCAGAGGCCTCTTCACCAAAGGCCCGCCCCGCACTTGGCTCCAGTCACCAGTATGAGAGAGAAAGGTGCTGGCAACAGGATCTGGCCAGAGGAAGAGATGACCTGTGTGCAGCTGGGCTCAGGATGCGGCGCTGTCAGCAGCAGGTTGGCCAGTGTGGCCTCCCCTTCCTCTGCTGGGCTGGGGTAGGCTGCGGAGGGGGGAGCAGAAGCCCCTCTTCGGTTGTGGTTGCCAGGGTGCTGAGGGGCTCATTCCTGGGACTGGCTGGGACCCCCTAAAACCCTTCCTGGGAGAAAACTGGAACCAATCCTGCCCTACCTCCCTGCACTAACCAGCTTTGAGGATGGCACTGAAGAGCCTTGGGAGGGAGTGCACCTCCCTTGTGACTCTCACATCAACCATTAAAGTTATTTAACAGCAGCCCTCACCTGGTTCTTGAGGACAGGTTGCCTCTCCGCTTGGTCTGGGCCTGCCTCATCCCTTCATCTCTGGAGTTTAGTTGACCGGTAGTCGTGAAGTATGACTGTGATACTGAGTAATCAGACAAGGGCTGGGTGCAGGGGTACTTTATAAATCCCACAGGGAGAAAGGCGGGCTGCTCTTCTCTCACACGCTGCTGAATCTCAGGATCTCAGCAAGGTCATAGCCAGTCACAGCAAAGGAGCTGCCAGCAGGGTCACAGAATCGGGCACCACACACCTGGGTGTCAGGTACACACTCAGCATGACAGTGCTCCACCTGGGGGAGAGGAGGGCTGCTCAGGGCCTGCCGCCTCAGGCTTGGGCCCCCCTTTTCCACTCCTCCCACAACACACACCTCAGTGTGGCCAGTCTTTGGGCTTCTGCTCAGCTTCCAGATGTGTACAAAGGTGTCCTCGGCTGCAGAGAGAAGCTATAAAAACAAACAAAAAAAGGTGGTAGGATGGGGGCATTGGCACGTGCTGACAGGGGACGTGTATAGGCTGGAGTGCCTGGCCCAGGTGCCCAGGGAGAGGGCTCCACTGAGTAATAGACAAGCCTGTGGAGTTCCTCTCAACACCCCAGTACCAGGAACACAGGTATATAGGGATGGAGGGGGAGACTGACCTTGCCCACCTCGGGAGCCAAGTCCAGGGCACAGATGGCCCGGGCGTGGGCGCTGATCTGGACGTGCAGAGTTCCCGTACTGGCCTCATAGAGACGCACTTGCCCATCCCCGTAGCCTGCGGCTACTGTCCCATGCCACAGCTGCACGGAAGGGCACGGGACCCTGCAAGGGTGATAACCCACTTTATTTTCCTCTGACCCCTCAGGAAGGCATCAGCCCCCTTCTGCCTCACCTACCCAAATCCTGGAATTTGGGTCATTAATTTGAATTCAGGCCCTGACCGCCAGACACACAGCAAGCCTGAGTCATCTGCCGTCACCATGTCAGCCATGCAGTCCTGAGGAGAAAAGCGGGATCAGTCCTTCCCTTCCTCCACTGCTGGGTCCTGTATACAGGGCAGGGGGGAAGGGAGGCAGCATTTGCATCTTTGCCTGTCCAGGGAAAGGGCAAAATGTGGAGCCCTCACCAGCTGAATGTGGGGGTTCCCTCAGGATGCATAAAGTGCCTCCCTTGCATTCCTTAGAGTCTCACTCCCCCTGACCCAACAAACCATGTGTGAGGGGCAGGGTATATAATTGTCCTTACTGGATGGATGATGAAGCTGAGACCACAGTGTTATGATCTGGAGGTCTTGCAATGAGCCAGTCACAGTCATGACTAGAGTCCAGGCCTCTTGAAACCTCCAACCCCAGGCAACCAACATAGCCTCTGGGCCCAGCCCTGGGTCAGGTGCAGTGGAGGATATGAATTAGAACATACATACCCCATTCTCAAGAGGTTTGTAATCCAATTAGGGAGACAAGAGTTGTCTTTGAGGATAGTACCAATTCAGGGCTCAGCCAAGGGAGATCAGTGGGAGCAGGAATAGGGGGATGGCTTCCCGAAGAGAGTAGCACTGGAGGTGGGCCTGAATAGGTAGGACTTGCCCAAGTCCAGAAAAGGAGGCTGCACATGTTAGAGTTGGAAAGCATCTTAGACACCATCTGTCCCAACTCTTCAATTCACACCAGTATTGAAAAGTGTTCATGAACTATTAAATGACATGTAAATGGAAAATCAGTCTTCATCACTGGACTTGAGGTTGCTGAAACCTGGGAAAGGGCAGCAATGTCCCCAAAGTGATCCAACTGCTTAGCGGTGGAGTCAAGACTTAAACCCAGGTCTGCTGTCTACCAAAGTGGGAAGGCTCCCAGGCTCACTGGAATTGGTAGGGGGAATCCACTCACCTGTCCCTGGGCAGGCTCGGTCGCAATGTCTGTGACTGATGTCTGGTGCCCAGCCAGCTCTTCACTCAGGACAATGTTGGGACCCTTGGCTGGGATGTCAAATACCAGTACCCGGCCCGACCACGTTCCTGCGGAACCAGTGCCCCACTGATGGTTTCCTGATCCTCCCGAGTCTCCAACCACCACACATAGCACTCCCTCCAACCCAGAAACCTTTGTAACAAAACCACCAGTCACTGCTCCAACAGCTCTACTCCTCCATTGACTACCGTTATTCTGTCTTATCCTGCCCTTCTGAAGCCCTCCATGGCTTTCTGGAGTCTCTATAAGAGCCCCCTTCACTCCCACCCTTCCCTCTAACCCTCAAAAATTCCCTCAAACCTTCAGCATCCTCCTGGCCAAAGCCCACACCCCTATACCCCAGCACCCCCCAATGCCCTGCCTTTGGCCCCCTCACCCACACAGATGAAGTGGCCACTGGAAGCAATTCCTCGGGCAAACACAGCCTGTACTGAGTATGAAAAGGGAAAACTATTAGAAATAGCACCTCCTCCGGCCCCACCAAACACGGCGTACCCCCATCCCACTCAGTCCTGCAGGTACCTGGAGACACATCTCCAGAGTCCAGTGCGTGCCAATAGACCATGACAGAGCCATCTGACTCATACATCTGGAAGACAAGAGCAAGGATGGGGGCACAATCCAGCTGACCTTTGCTGAGCTATGCTGAGTATTTCACATACTCATGTTAGCCTTAGCCCATTTAATCCTCAAAAACAACTCTGGGAGGCAGGCACTACTTCTATTCCCATCTCAGGACACTGAGGCTCTGAGAAGTTAACTAAATTGCCTGAGGTCATACAGCTAGTAAAAGGGCAGGTATTGGAGATGGCACTTGGGAATCAGAAAAGATGGAAGGAATGAAGATGAGAAATAAGGAAGAATGGGCTAAACGTGACAAGTTTGGAAGTGTTTAGAGGCAACTGGGGAAGTGTTTAGGGGCCTGGGGGAAGAGTTGAGAAGACTATAGTGGGGGAGGGTAGGAAGCTCTCCTTACCTGTATTCCTCGATGTGAGGTGAGTACCAGCAACACTCGGAAGGGGAGGACACACCAATGGACCTAAAGGGAAGTGGCCCAGAGTAGGAAGAAGTGGTCAGAGTGGAGGATAGGAGGACTCAAAAGAGTGAAAAATCAGAGGGTTAGGGAAGGCCTATTCCTTGAGGCTTGGAGAGGAAGGACAGAGATGAGGACTGGGTTCAGCAACACCACTCTCAAGCCTATGCCTCACCTGGGTGATAAGTGGAGGGCTCACTCCAGCTCCCTCCTTAGCGTGGAGCTGGCGCTGGGCCAAGGGCACACCCTCAGGAGCAGCGCTGAGAAGCTGGGCGCTGGGTCCATGGACTACCCCAAAATGTGTGAGGTTGCGGGAGGGTACCTGCAGCACACTGAGGTTGTTGCACAGGGCTGCAGCCGAACATCGAAGGGGAATAGAGCGCTCCCGGCGGAACATCCTAGCGGAGAAAGGCCCGAATCACAGGCGCCCCGGAAACACGACAGTGGTGATTCCTGCGGGAGGAATGGGGGATGCTGTCATGAGGCACTGAAGGAGACCACTGGAGTAGGTCAGGATGTGATGGGGAACCCAAGGACGGCAATAGGGGAGTCTGGCGTGGGGACGTCTTGGGGAACGGGAAAGGGGAGCCCCAGGGCTGAGTCAAAGGGGCGATGGGGGAATCCCAGAGGAGGAACGGTGATGGCACAGGACCCGATGGCCCCAAGCGCCCGAGCGAAGGCAGATGAAGCAGGGTAGCCCCCAGACACTTCTTCTCTCAGCTGGCTCCCCGAAGCCCCCGGCCAGAGGTCACACCCGCAACCCCAGGGTCGCTTGCCTGACTCCGGGAATCCTTCGGTCCCTGCGAATCCGCCGCCACCATAGAGACGACGCACGTACGCACGGCCATTGGGCGGGGCCGAGCAACCCAGACAGGCAGAGCGCGGCGCGGTTGCCAGGGCAACCGTGGGCGGGGCGAGCCACTCTACGCTGGGTCAGCCGCTGGGTGCAAGGCGCCGTTGCTAGGGCGACGGTTAGGCGGAGGAGGCTGCAGCAAGGCGGGGAAGCTGCCGAAGCCCCGGGGTTGGAGCGACAGCTGCGGCGATGGCTCACGAAGGCTCGGTGAGCTTCAGCTCCGCTAGGGGTGGGCCAGAGCCGGGACGGCCTTTAAGGTCGGTGTGGGGAACCGTGGGTCGGCCCCACGCCGGCCGTCGCCTGCCCACCTTGCGGGCGTTCATGGTGACCAAGGAAGCCACGTCGGTCTTGGGCAGAAAATCTACACCTGCACCACGCACACTAACACGCTTTGTCACACTCGGAACCTGAGGGAAAAAGTCAAATGTATGGTGCAGAGCGCAAGAACAGGAACTGACTTTGGAAGCAGCTATGCATGTAGTCTTACACTGAGGCACCCATTCAAATGGATAAATCAGAATTGGGCAGGCACTGGGGAGAGGCGTTGCTAAATAAACTCCCTTTCAAGGATTTTAGGAGGAAGGAATGGATTAAACAACTCTGAGGCTGCACTTGAAAGTCAGATTGTTTAAAAGCCAAGAATTTTTTTTTTAAGATTTCTTTTTATTTTAGAGAGAGAGAGCCCGCGCGAGAGGGGGAGTTGGGGAGGGGCAGAGAGAGAGGAAAGGAGAAAATCTCAAGCGGACTCCCCGCTGACTGGGAGCTCCACACCGGGGCCTGAGCTGAAATCAAGTGCGGAGGCTTAACCTACTGAGCCACCCAGGTGCCCCCAAAGCCAAGAAATTTTTAAATAAAACAGATTTGAGGAGACTTCGTGCAATAATATCTCTGGCCTCTCTGGTCAGGCCACGTCTAGGTACAGTCACTATCAGGGGTGGCACATGAGAGGCTGGGAGGGTAAGTCTAAGGAACTGGCTCTCCTCTCCCAGCCCTATCAGCCCTGCTCTGGCCAAGCCTGGACTGGGCTGTGGGCTGCTCCCTGGGCTTGCCACCAGGGCTGTTTTCATTAGCAGAGAAGGGAAATGAGGCTTAAGGGATTTTGAGTTCAGTGTAAAGTTTAGGAAATACCAGATATGGGGGAGAATGAATTTGAGGGGACATCTGGTAGGAGGCAATAAGGTTGGGTGGGGGTGAGGAGGTAAAGATTTGAGAAGATTACCTTTAGAGGTAAATTTTGGAAGGAACCAAGTTCAGGGAGACTTGTAGGAAAGTGAGGAGGCTCCCAAGAATCTCCCTGTAAGTTTCCTATGCTAAAATGAATTTATGGAACTAGCCTTTTTCTTTTTATGCGGATTTTTCTTGATTATAAAAGGACACAGACTCACTGTAGAGAACTTATAAAATAGAGAAGAGCACAAGAAAGAAACGTATCCACTGTTACAATTTTAGTGTTTCCCTTTTCTTTAACATATACTGATTTATACATCTGAGATGATACTTGGTATGTAATTTTGCATTCTGTTTCTTTCATTTATCATTACCTATCCTATTGCAAATTCTTCTTAAAATTATCTATAATCATTGCATAATACGCCTTAGTATAGAGGGCACACAATTAGCCATATATTCTCTTTTTGTTAGACATAGGTTTTTAATATTCTGCTATTATAAATGGGGAATATGTTGGAGGATATATTTTTATTTTCATTTCAGGATGCGCCTTTGGATGTGTTCATAAAACTGGAATTGATATTTTTGAAGGTTGGATGTCTTTTCAAATGTTTATTAGTCATTTATGGTTCCATTTTTGTGAAATGTTAATGTCGTTTGCTTATTATCCTTGGGGGTCTTATGATTTTATTTTTTATGTGAGTTTTTAATATACTTGGGGATATTTATCCTTTTTTATATTTGTTGCAATTTTTTTTTTATTTTGGAAAGCAGGGTAAAGTCAGGCTTTAGAGTCAGGCATACCTACATATGAATTATGACTTCACTACTTCCTTGCTGTGTGATCTGGACAAATTCTGTAAAATGAAGATAAAAATAGTATGTAGTCTAAAAATGTAGGACTTGAGTGAGCGTTTGTAACTGATACACTTAAGTGCCAGTAAATGGTAACTACTGTCAGCTTGTAACTGGGAATGTCTTAAAAATAAGTATAGGAAAAATTTGCCTATATGTATACACCTCTCTAGCTATTTCTTACATAATTTTTATGCTTAGGCAGTTTTTTCTCACCCAGAGATGATATGACAATTTAACCTATTTTTTTCCTACGTTTTATTTTTTATGTTTTTGTTTCATTTGTGTGTGTATATCCTTTAATCCATCTGGAATTTATTTAGATGTAAAATGATCTAAGTTGATTTGGGGGGAGAGGAGGAGACTCTAAGGAGCACTAGCCATTTATTGACTCGTCTTTAATTTTTCTGAACTCTTAAGAACTTTGAACCTTTTGAACTAGTGCCAATAGCAGGGACTGTGGAGTAGAGCTATACATAGCCAGGGTGTACTCTGTAATCTCAAGCAAGCGATGGTTAACTTGTGTCCTTTCAGTTTCTTTGTAAAATGGGCTTAGTGAGATGTTATGAAAATTAAATTAACGGGGCACCTGGGTGGCTCAGATGGTTAAGCGTCTGCCTTCGGCTCAGGTCATGAGCCCCGCATTGAGCTCCCTGCTTGGCAGGGAGCCTGCTTCTCCCTCTACCGCTCCCCCTGCTTGTGCTCTCTTGCTCTCTCTATCAAATAAATAAATAAAATCTTTAAAAAAAATTTTTAAAATGAAAATTAAATTAGCTAGGTCAGGGGCGCCTGGGTGGCTCAGTCAGTTAGGCCTCCTACTCTTGGCTTGAGCTCAGGTCATAATCTCAGGGTCCAGAGATGGAGCCCCATGTCCAGCTCCCCACTCAGCAGGGAGTCTGCTTGAAAGATTCTCTCCCTCTGCCCCTCCCCCCTCAGATAAATAAATCTTACAAAAATAAATTAGCTAGGTCAAACATCTAAAATAAATTTGACATGTAGTAGGCTCTTAGTAAATTGTTCCTTTCAGAAGGCTTTCCTTCCTACTGGACAGCTTGAGAAAGCTGCTTCCTAGTCTGTAGCTGCTTCTCCATTCCACTTCTCTGTTTCCTGGCCTGATTGCCCTGTTTTTTCCTCCCAGAGGCAGGAGAGACAGATCCGGGACCGCGGGGTGACCCGATCCAAGGCGGAAAAGGCGCGACCTCCTACAGTGCTGGTGCCACAGGTGGACATCGTGCCTGGGCGGCTCACGGAGGCTGACTGGATGGCGCTCATGGCTCTAGAGGACGGAGAGGATGTTGTGGGGGACATCTTGGCTGATCTGCTGGCTCAAGTCATGGACTCTGCCTTCAAAGTCTACTTGACTCAGCAGGTGGGCCTGGATCCCGGTTCTCCAGACTCATCTGCACCCACCCACCCGTCCCTCCGGCAACCCCTGGGCTGAGACCCTTTCTCACCTCCGTAGTGCATTCCGTTCACCATTAGCCAGGCCCGGGAGGCCATGCTGCAGATCACCGAGTGGCGCTTCCTGGCCAGGGACGAGGGAGAATCTGCAGTGGCCGAGGACCCCACATGGGGCGAGGACGAGGAACCCTTGGCGTGCACGACGGATGCCTGGGCTCAGGGATCAGTGCCCGTGCTGCATGCGCCTGCCTCGATGGGGCCGGAGGAGACCTTCCCAGGCGAGGTGAGCCCAGCCCCAAACTCCCTTCGACCCCCACCCCGCTACCCTGAGCCCCACCGAGTCTTCCTTCTCCTCAGGGCCTCCCTGGACTCCTCTACCCTTAGTTCCTCTCTCCTCTTTCCCGCGTCTCACTACCCACCCTCCGCCCCTACCCCCAATGCATTTCCTAGGACCAAGGGAGTGTGGACCAGATCTCTTTAGGAAGACGGTGGATGGTGAGACGCTCTCAGGAGCAGACGGACTCTTGGGAGCATTCTCCAGAGCTGCAAGTCTCTCCGGGCCCCCCACCTACCCCAGAGCTGTTTCAGGAGACAGGGTCCGGGAGTCCTTTAGAGGACTTGGACGTCCAGGCCAGAGACCACCAGGCCACGGTGGGGTCCTTGAACGCGAGCCGCCAACCGTCGGTGGAGATGGCTCCCGATGGCAGTCCCCAACCTTCTCTGGAGGTAGCCAGCACCCAGGCCTTGACCCAGAGGGCACAGCCCCCCGGCTCCCAGTTCTTGCTGGAGGACCTCTATTATTGCACGTCCCAGCCGCACATAGCTGGGGGCTGGCTGAAGCTCAAGAAGGAGGACGTGCCCCTCATGGACTCGGGCGTGTCGGGGGCGGGCCTCTCCGCTGGCGTCCCCACGGCGCTCGGCCCCTCCGCCTCATCAGAGCCACAGCAGCCCAGGTTCGCGGACGCGCTGCGGACCCGGCTTCCCTACGGGGTGGGCCGCAAGGCCGGGGTGCGTCTGGACCCCACGCGCCTGCCGCGCCGCTGGGTACGCCCGCTGGCCGAGGTTCTGGTTCCGGACTCGGAGGCACGCCCCCTGGAAGCCTACCGCGGGCGCCGGAGGGTTCCGAAGACCGAGGCTCCCGAGGCTCCCGCCAGACTGCTAGCGCCTGGACCCGGTGTCCCCGTCTCCCCGACAGTTTTCTTCTCTCTCCCGCCTAGTGCTCCTTTCCCTACCTTGGGCCCCGGCCCTGGCCTCCAATCCCCCACTTTCAGCTTAGGCCTGCCATCGCCAGGCTTTGGGTCAAAGTTGCCCTTTCCCACACCTGAGCTTGGCTTTCTTGCCACGCCGCATCTGGCCTTCCCTGATCTGGCCCGGAGACCCAGCCCCAGAACGTGGCCTGGTGCCAAGTGGCCCAGTGGCTGGGAGGGCGAGGCTGAGTTGCTGGGCGAGGTGTGGGCTGGCCGCAGCCACGTAAATCCACAGGGCCTGGATCCCAGCTCCTGGCAGCGTCAGGATCCTCACCGGTGGCCACATACAGCACCCCGAGTCCTTGAGGCCACATCCCAGGTGATGTGGAAGCCCGTGTTGCTGCCTGACACAATGAAGCTGGCTCCTGGTGTGAGCATGTGGAACCCAACCACCCAGGTGCTGCTCAGGGCTGCAGTATCCCAGCAGGAGGACAAAGAAAGTGGCACCTCTCTTCCCATTGAGCAGCATCCCATCCAGACAGGTGCCCCAAAGCCTCAGGTGTCTGTGAGACAACTAATGAAGAACCCAACCCCCAAAGTGTGGTCACTGCTCCCCAAGCACCTGCCCTATTTTGGGCCCTGAAGCTCAGGCAGTCGGTTCCTTCTTTCTGCTTGCCAGAATAAACACGTGAGTTGCCTTAAGGGTTGACCTGATGTCTCTGTCAGTTTCTTCCAAGGGTGCTCACTCAGGAGCAGTTGTCCTACAGTCCTAGAAGAATATAGAACACTGGTTCCAGGGAATAACCCCCTTTCCACCCTTGGAAGACCTTGCACTAGGGTCACCGTTGCTCCCCAGCAGAGGCATTCTGGAGAACCATCCCCCTCTCCACAGAGGAGTAGACATAAGGGCTGCAAGAGGGGTCTGCCTCAGTTGGAATCACTCAGAGCCTCCTTGCAGTAGGGGAGTAAGCTGACGGCTCTGCTTAAGTACACATTGATTAAAGACAGGAGAGGGGCACCTGGGTGGCTCAGCCGGTTAAGCAACTGCCTTCGGCTCAGGTCATGGTCCCAGGGTCCTGGGATCGAGTCCCACGTCGGGCTCCCTGCTCTGCAGGAAGCCAGCCTGCTTCTCCTTCTCCCACTCCCCCTGCTTGTGTTCCCTCTCTCGCTGTGTGTCTCTCTCTCTCAAATAAATAAATAAAATCTTTAAAAAAAAAAAAAAAGACAGGAGGAATTTGATATTTTGCTTTTCCAATCCCTGGAATTCATCAATTCAGCTTATGGTTGGAGACAACCATCAGCCTATACTGGCTCAGAGAAGCACTGACTCTGGGCCAAAGATAGCAGTGAGGCAATCAGGTGTCCAAGGCTTGCAATTTAAGGTAGAATGCACTCCCAAGTCCAAGCAGGGTGCTTGACCAAATCTGAGAGTGAGTAGCCTCTTTAAATTTTGTGTCCTAGGCACCAAACCTGCCTGATTGCTAATCCCCCGCTCAGCTTTGACTAGCTCCTCCCCAGCTTACCTGTACTGCAGCCAGCTCTTCTGGTGGCCAACCAGCAAGTCTTTGCTATGTCGCAGTGGTCTCTACTCAGCACCCTGGTCTGGAGCCCTGGCTCTGTCCTGCTCATGCTGATCTTCCTGCTTAGACTAAGCGTGCGACTCTGGCACGATTCTTATCTTTGGGACCTCCAGCGGTGCGCCACAGACCTAACTGGGAAGACAGCAGTGGTGACTGGTGCCAACAGTGGTGAGTTCTCTTCTCATCCTGCTACCTCACTAGGTGCCTCAGTGCCCCGCAGCCCCACTGGGGGGGGGTGGGGGTGTGGACCAGCACCTCTCATCACTCCCCAGGCTAGCCTACTTTGAAGCTGCCCTCCTGCAGGCATCGGGAAGGCTGTATCCCAGGAGCTGGCCCGCCGTGGGGCCCGTGTGATCCTTGCCTGCCGTAACCAGGAGCATGGACAGCAAGCTCTGGCTGAGATCCAAGTAGCCTCAAGGGGCAACTGCCTCCTGCTTGGCCAGGTGGACTTGAGCTCTATGGCCTCCATCCGGAGATTTGCCCAGTGGCTTCTGCAGGAGGCTCCTGAGATACATCTGCTGGTTAACAATGCTGGAATTTGCGGTATGTTTCCCCCGGACACATCTCAGGAGCCTCCTTTCTGGTTCAGGGACCCTAAAACAGGCATCCACCAAACCTAACCTGTGCATCCTGCTGAAAAACTTGAATTCATACATGACCCTAAAAAGCCTCCCTTAAGTTTTTGGCCCCATCCTTGCACATACATATTCCTGTGCCGTATCTACTGAACGCCAATCTATCTCCCAAATCTTGTCTCCTTCCATTACCCACTAACTGTGTTCTCATCTCCTCCCAGGATTCCCCAAGACACTTACCCCAGAGGGCCTTGATCTCACCTTTGCCACCAACTATGTTGGGCCCTTCTTGCTTACAAATCTACTCCAAGGTAAGGAAGAATGGGTGAGCCTCCCTTCTGTGCCACCCTTGCTTCTCCATTCCCCTGGCATTTTCATGGCTTACTGTCTCCATGGCCACTTCTTTTCCCTTGGCCCCAGCTGCTCACTGAGTGATGACCCAGTATGCCTTTTCCCCACACACAGCAAGGGAACCCACCTGACACAAGTCAGGAGTCGGAGGCTGGTAATGAAATCAGTCAGCCCCAAATATAACCAGCAAGGGGATTTAAGATCCCACCTCTCCTTCCCCCAGCTCTGAGTTTTAGCTAGGCCAGTTGAGTCAGTCATCTCAACAAAAGCTTCTTAGGGGAGCACTAGACCACTAGGAACATAGACACCAAGAAGACCTACTTCCTGCTCTCAAGTAGCTCAAGATCCACCAGGAATCTAGACAGAACTCATCTCTGTCCTGGGCCCAAGTCCTTTGGCTTTCTGATTTTTTAATACTTTCTGATTAAGGAAGTTTGGGTTCTTCCTGGGGAGGCTGGGGCAGAGTGAGGGGCAGGCGCCTTCTTCCTAACATTTTCTCCTGGACTGTGTAATAGCCTCTTTAAAATAAAACCAAGTGTTTGGGTTAGGTAATATGTGTCCAAAATACAAAATTTAAAGTGTACAAAAGGGATTACATTTTATTTATTTATTTTTTAAGATTTTATTTATTTATTTGAGACAGAGAGAATGAGAGACAGAGAGCATGAGAGGGAGGAGGGTCAGAGGGAGAAGCAGACTCCCTGCCGAGCAGGGAGCCCGATGCGGGACTCGATGCGGGACTCGATGCGGGACTCGATGCGGGACTCGATCCCGGGACTCCAGGATCATGACCTGAGCCGAAGGCAGTCGCTTAACCAACTGAGCCACCCAGGCGCCCAGGGATTACATTTAAAAAAGTCTCCTCCTCTCCTTGAAAATCAGCTACCCGTGACTTTCTTGGGAGGCAATTCATGTTGCCAGGATCTCATGGGCTCTTTAGTGGCTGATTAAATTATCCCCAACTGGAAAGGGAACAAAGAGCAAGGCAAAACTCTATGTATGAGTTCGCAAGTAGTAACTTTTTCCCCCTTTCGACAAATTGTCACACCCTGTCTGCACCTTGCCTAGTTGTATTTTCTTAAACTGTCTTCTCTCTTCCCCTTCTCTCTCTCTCTTTTTAAAAAAGATTTTATTTAATTATCAGAGAGAGAGAGCAGGAGCAGGGGGAGTGGCAAACAGAGGGAGAGGCAGGTTCCCCCCTGAGCAGGGAGCCTCATGCGGGGCTCCATCCCAGGACCCTGGGATCATGACCTGAGCTGAAGGCAGACGCTTAACCGACTGAGCCACCCAGGCGCCCCATCTCCTCCCCTTCTCTAATCTATTCTTCCTGCCACTTGTAGAAATCACTTTTCACCATATCACGTGCTTAAAATCCTTGGAAGGTACTCCATCCTTTAGTGGAGAAACTCTAAGCCCCTTCTTTCCATGCACAGACCCCCTGCAGACTGAGAGCCTCACCTTCTGCCCTTCCTGAATCCATACTCTCCTCTCCAGCAGACAGTCTGTAGCTATGCTCTGTAGCTCTTGGACATTGCTTTTTTTCCCCTCTGGCTCTGCTTTTTGCACACATGCTCGCCTCTATGTGGAATATCCTTTTCCACTCTTTTAGCTGACCAACTTTAGTTCCTTCACCAAGACTCAGCACAGATATTGCCTGTGCTATGGATCCTGCCCTTTGCTTCCCCCAGCAGTCCCCCATTTACAGGGCTCCCTCAGCCCTTGTACACATCCCTGTTCCCACATCGACACTGTTCCATGAGCATCAGTCTCCAACTAGGCTGTGAGCCCCTTTGGCCTTTATATCACTATGCCTGCAAGTCTAGGGTCTGTTCTCTCTCTCTTTTTTTTTTAAGATTTTATTTATTTATTTGAGAGAGAGACACAGCAAGAGAGGGAACACAAGCAGGGGGAGTGGGAGAGGGAGAAGCAGACTTCCCGTGGAGCAGGGAGCCCGATGCGGGGCTTGATCCCAGGACCTGGAATCATGACCTGAGCCGCAGGCAGACGCTTAACGACTGAGCCACCCAGGCGCTCAGGGGTCTGTTCTCTTTAAGAATAATTTTCTCTCCAGCAAATTTTGGCTAAATACCACCTGCTCAAATTTTCATTTGTGATTTGGAATTTAAATGTATGGTCCAAAATACTTTTGGCATTTTGAATACTGTAAGCTCATATGTGACGACTACTATTTTTCATATTTTATATAATCCAGACTTCAATAGATAGTAGCATATTTTTTTTAAAAAGATTTAACTTGTACTATTGATTGTAATTTCATTTTTGTTACTTTGGAAGATAGTTGGGTTTAAAAAGATTTTATTTATTTGTCAGAGAGAGAAAGAGAGAGCGCACAAGCAGGGGGAGCTGCAGTCGGAGGGAGAAGCAAGCTCCCTGCCAGGACCCTGGGATCATGACCTGAGCTGAAGGCAGACGCTTAACCGACTGAGCCACCCAGGCATCCTGATAGCTGGGGTCTAAAAAAAAAACCACTTTCCCAAGCATCTCTACATACGTTTCTTTCCCCCCTCAACCTAGCACCCTTATGTCCTTAGCATCTGTCTTGGTGTCTGCCATAATCCAGACACCTAATGAACATCTGTGTGATGAATACACGAAAGACAGCTTTCACAGTGTCTGCAACCTTTGCTTTTTCTCTTAGCTACCAGTGAGGTAAAACACAAACAGGGATCAATTAAAGTAGCTCCAGCTGACAAGTGGGAGAAAAGCAAGACAAAAATCCAAACACTACAATAAGAGAGAAGGAAAAATGTTAGGAAAGTAGCTAATGAAGATGAAGTCTCCATTCACATTAAGCTGGGGGGGGCCCACTGACCCTATCCTGAAAGCCCTGGATGGTCTCTGCTCTTTTGGAGTTTCCTGGAGAGGCAGGTGGGCGTGGGAATTCACTCCAGAAATTGGATTGAAGGAGTGTGGTCCTCTTTCCACCCAGGGGCCCTACAACGGGCAGGGTCAGCCCGGGTAGTGAATGTGTCTTCCTTTCGGCATGCACACGGGTATGTTGATGAGAAACATCTGACAGGGGCTGGTAAGCCTTTGACCTTTAACCAGAACTACGACTGCAGCAAACTGCTCTTGACCTCCTTCACTGGGGAGCTTGCCCGGAGACTTCAAAGGACAGGTAATTGTCTCTGACACCCCCTGCTCCTCCATCCCAGCACCCCCTCCCAATACTTCACATCTCATCCCAACATGTCCTGGCCATAAACTGCTCCCTGTGTCCCCCAAGGCAGCTATTAATCTCCTCCATGTATCATCTGTGCAGCTATGGTTCCCTCAACCCTGTCTTCACATCTCCTTTTCAGTCTTTCCAACTCTCCTATCACTCACAACACCCCTCTCCTCTCAGGATTCTCCAAAACCAGCACCATCCACTGCATTCCTCCTAAAGTTCACCCAGCACTTTAAAATACTTCCGTCTCCTCACTGGTTTAAATACCACCATTTGTCTGAGTTTCAGACGACTGACTTGCCTGGCACCACCCCCAAGTCTCTGGATCCTTCTGCCCAACAGATCTCGTAGGATCCTCTATCATTGGAGAACCACACTTACCCCTTTCTTCCCAATATCCCCCTCTCATTCCACTTTGCACTTTACCTGTGTCCCATCCTCTCAGGTGTGACTGTGAACTCTGTGGA